CCGCGCTTCCTGGTTTCCGCTCTTTGAGGACGCCTGTGAAGAGCCCAGGGAGGCCAGCCCGCGGGCTTGGGCCACTGCCATCACAGAAGAACAGCACTGCGCTTGGCGATACGATTATTTGTGTTGCGAACAAGCCAAGAAATCCCCAGCCGACGGAGCAGAGGCCCTTCCCCACCTCCAAACCCCGCCGACAGAGCCCCGGGCTGGCGCGAAGCTGGCGGCCCTGGCGCCTTCCCAGCACGGCCCTGCCGGGGAACCGGCCCGGGTGTCACCACCGAGGGCTGAATCACGGTGTTGCGGCCACAGCTGGTCTTTCGACACACGGAAGGGGTTTGGCAACCCTCGTGGGCTATTAATAGAGCGGGGCTGTTTTCTGAGAGCCCCACGCCGGGCTGGATGAGCGCAGGTCTGCAGGGCAGCAGAGCAAACTCCGAGAGAGGGGAAGCGCTGCGTTTACCCAAGGAGAGGCTGAGCGAGCGGGGAAGCAACGTGCCGGCGAGCAGGAAGCGGAGCGGTGCCCTCTGCTCCCTTATCGCCTCCGATCCCGCGCCGGCTCCGCCGAGCCAAGCGGGAACAATGAACAATGAGCCCCGTGAGGCGGTGGCAGGGGACGCGCCACCTGCGCTCCCGTCCCACCCCGGGGGACCCCTCCGGCCCCGACCTGATCCTGCACTCGGGGCGGTGGGAAGATGCCACGGAGGGTTTTCCGCAGGAAATCCTGTTCTTCTCCCAGCCGGATCTCCCATTCCTCTGAGTTTACCCAGTGGCCATGACAGCCATCCTGCAAGAGCAGCGAGGTCCCTGCACGGACGGCAGCTTGGGGACAGAGCGGGACACCTCAGCTGTGGTGTAATCCCAGCGGGAGACAGGGCAGGGAGAAGGACATCCCTTCTTTACGTTGGGAAGGGAAAACACAGAGAAGGCATTAGGAGAAGAGGTCACCTGCACTGGTGGCAGGTTATCACAAAATAAAAGGCAGCCCTCGGAGGTTACCTGCCCCCTCGCACGCCGTGCTCAGTCTGCAGCAGGATGACGGCCGCTTCGGGCTGCTCAGTCCCGTCTCCATCCAGAGTGCCACCTCCGGGAGGAAGGAGCCAGCCGTGCCCGAGCCCCAGGAGCTGCCCAGGCCAGGAGCAGGGAGCCAGGGCAAGGAGCCGCCCGTCTCAGCCACCCTGCAAGCTGCCACCGGGCGTGTGGGGTCGGGGGCCGGCTCCTAGCTGCCCGCTGGGCTCTCCCCGGGGCTCGCTCTGGAGCACCGCTGCATTTCTAGCAATGGAAGAGCCAGGCGGAAGAACCACCCTGTGCAACAAGGAAATCCAGCCTGCCTGAAGGGCACCCGTTATCTCATATCCCAGCTCCATCCTGCCCCGCGCCCTCCCTTCCCCGGATCTACATGAGCACAGCTCCTCTGCCCATCTTCTGCCGTGCCAGCACTGTACCAAGTGCTTCCCTTCCCACCCTGGTGTGGGACAAACGCGTGCCCGTCTCCAGGCGCCTCCCGGATCGCTCTGGTTGACGGGCCCTGCACTGCGCCAGCCTCTCCTCCCCTCGCTGGGCAGGGAGCGAAGGCATCGCGTGACCTGGCGGAGTGGGTTTGGGTCTGGCGGCGTCAACCCTGCGATGCCACGGGTGTTGGGATCGCAGCCCCAGGGGACCAGGGTGGTTTGTATCACCCCTTTGAGATCCCGTCTCGACATCCAGCTGCCTGCCTCGAGCCCCTCTGGCCCAGGCCGACTGCAGAGAAAGCCGTGGCAGAAGAGTTGCCTCACCCAGTAACTCTGGAGAGGGCCCCAGCTTCGCTCTCACCCGGCCACCGCGGCTCCTTCGCTGCCGGGAAAGTCCCACAGGCAGGGGAGGGTGCAGAGTGCATTCCTGAGGCTGCTCTGCGGGAGGGCTCACAGCCAAGCCCTGCTGGAGAGGAACCTGCCCTGCAGGCTGGCGGCTGGGAAACCACCTCTGCCAGGCTGGACCGGGCCAAACAGCCAGACTGGATGAAGCAATTGCTCCCCACCACCTCCTTCCTCCCTCCTGCACCCGGCCGCACCAGACGTTCTGTCCCTGCATGGCACCAGGCACCGGCAACCGCAAGAGGTTCGAGCCAGCCCGGCAGGTCTTGTCCTGGTTCACATCCTGGCGATGCTACTGCCAGGGATTGCTGGCACGGCGGCTGCCTGTGCGCAGGCGAATGTGTCCTTCACATGCCTGGCTCCTGCATCCATCACAGCCTCCCCTCTCTGTCCCTTCCCACTGCCGAGGGGTCGCTGCAGGAGGTGACAAACTCTCATGCGTGCCTCCTCTCTGCTGCAGCCTCAGCTTTCGCCCTCACGCAGCTATATCCCTATTGCACAGCCACATGGAGAGCCTGGCCACGGAGCGATGCTGACCAGGAGGGACTGGGGCCATCAGTGTTTCGGGGCACTGAGACTGGGAGAGGCAGAGGACAGCCCATTTGGAAAATTCACCTTCCACCACAAGGACTGAGACCATCCAGGGAAAAGCTGAGGTTTGCTTGCAGGGCCAGAGAGCCGGGAGAAACAATGTGATTACTTCCCAACGTCCCACGGCTTGGAAACCATCCAGCAAAGACATCAACGAGAGCAGGTGGGAAGGTGCAGGGCTCCTGAGTCAGCTGGCACAGAGATCTCAGTGCGGCAGGCCGAAAGGGAACCTCAGTCCTGTGTCCAAGTCTGCAGGGCGTTCAGGCAGTTCAGTCCTGCGCCACTTGGCCAAGCAACAGCCCAGGGCACCCTCCCTAACCGTTTCTCTGTAAGCCCTTTAAGCATGGAAAACACAACACGCAGTCTAAATGTGACCTTAGCTCTGGCAGCAAGCACTGCTGCAGCAAGCTTTTCTCATTCCTAACCAACAGTGATGGGTCCTCACGGGTACCAGTCAGATCACAGCATACAGAGAATTTTATATCATTTTGGACAGTGAACTAGCTTTCTTGCTGTTAAGGACAATCACATAATCCTCTTTTTTGTATACCGTAATTTTATCTTCTGATCGATCACTGTCATTTAAACATCCCCTGAAAGACTCTCAAACAGAAGTACATGTAAAAGTCCAGCTTTCTCATATTGGTGAAGAAAAGTACAGCCAAAAGTAGAATTTTGTATGAAGCCATAAACAGTAGATATTGCATCAGTGAGGAAATCTAACAGTTCTTCAGATCAGTATGCACCTCACTAGCACCATCTCAGGAGACAAAGCCGTGGTTTACTCAAATTGACTTGTTTTTTGTGCTAAATGGTCGAAAAAGGAGCTGATAGCATCAGCGTTCATTGTGATCTTGTCTCTCTTTAACATCAATATGTGCTGAGACACAAAGAAGTTGTAGATACGCATGCAGTTCTGCACAGATTGCTGGCCTCCTTCCATTTCCCTGATGTGCAGTGCGTGCAGGAAAGGGTTCATCTTGTCAAGCCTGGTGGGACTCACTCTGTGCCTCGCAGCTGCTCATCAGGACTCAAGAGCTCTTCTTCCTTGGACTCTCTTTTCACTCAAGGCCATAAACACTGACTGCACTCATTCAATATTTCTCTTCACATTGCTCTATACCCCCCGAGTCACAGCTATTAAAAATAACACCATGCAGGACTGTTTCTTCCAGCAGATGTGAGTGCTGTAAGATGTAGACTACAATCAAACTGTTCCCACTGTTCGTAGCATTTTCTCTCTATATATACATATCCTGGCACAAATACACCCTGACAGGTTTCCTCCACACCCTAACTGCGTGCTTGTGCTACACAATTAAAAAAACATTTTGTATTTCAAAAAAAACCAACCAAACAAACTCGGAGTCAAGCCCATGCAGCCTGCTACGATCTGAGACCCTGACCTACATCCATGCTCGGAGTCAGCAGCTCTGTAAAACAGCTGCTGGCCAGTTTAATGCTACGAGCAGTGAGACACGGACAAGCGCATCTCTTCCCCGAGTCATGGCAGGCACCTGCAACTCCCAGGCACAGGGACCTGCCAGCTTGGCTCTCAGCGGGGCCTCAGGACCCTGCTGTTGATGTGGGAGCTGAACCCAGCAGAGCTGGGAGTCCTTGGCCCTTCAGGCTTGCTATAGCCACTGCCCCGAGAAGCAGGCGCCCCCTCACCCCCCAGGCATGAACATCCCTTTGCGATCTCACTGGGTACCTGCTGCCTGCATCCACAGTCCTCCAGGATCAATGAAGTAGCACTATCAGAGGTAGCAATTTTTCCCCTGGAAAAATTCTGCCCAGGCGTAACTGAGATGTGGCACTGACCCCTAGTGACAGGCTTCTGCTCTGGCACTGCACGGCTAAGGTCTGTAAGGAAAGATGAAGTGCAGCCAAGAACAGCAGGGATCCGGGAACACTCCTCATACTGCACAAAACCTGCTTAAGCAGTGTTTCTGCTTATGAACTGCAGTGGACTGAGGGAGCCATTCCTGTAAGTGTGCTTCCAACCCTGAACATCCCGGTCCAGCACATCAGACAATCCACTCACTGCAGTGCTGTCACAACCAAAACAGATGCAGATTAAATGTACTTTAGAGATAGTTTATTTAAGAAATTTATTATAATCTCAGAGACCACACTTCATGTGCACAAAGTGGGAGAGTGATGCGGTAACAGGGAATGCACCAGTCATATCACCAGAGACAATACTGGAAATGACCTACCTACAACTTGTGGAGCGTTGTATAAAGACCTTACGCAGCAAAGGAATGACGGGAACTCACAGAGGTTCTGTTTCCTCACTGATCTACTCCTTCTCTGAGGCATATTCAGCTGCATGACAGACTCTGATCTGCATACTATAGATTACCACTTTAAATACATATATTTTGGCTCTAAGCCTGACATTAAGTCCACACATGGCCTGTTTCAGTTAGGGGCTTCAGAGAGAGCCCAAGACTGATGGTCTCTTTCTGGGAATTGCAAAATAATCCCACCAGGTGGGCTGCTTGCAAAATGAGAAAGACTTCACAATGCTCCCAGCAGCTCCTTAATATGTTTTTTTTTTCCCTTGCCACTAACTTTAGAGCCATGAGGAGAAGGAGGATCCAACCCTCCTGGCATAGCTCAGTGGCGTTCTGGAACAGAGCAGGTGCTTACTGAAGGCAATAGGAAGACTGTCGTTGGCATTAGCGAGATTAGACAAAGTTTCCCTCCAAATACCCTCCAAATACCCAGACCACATCCAGTGCTCAAGAGAGCTGTCCTGCAGGGTCAGGCCCTCCACCAAGGAATTATAGACCTTTTGCTGTCCCAGGAATATGAGCAAAGGCCAGAATGCTGCTTCCCCAGGCACTGAATCTCCCAGTCTAGACAAGGATGTGAAACACAGCTCCATCCCAGGTCGCAAGAGCCTGTCCCCAACACTGACAGCCCTGCCCTTCATCTCCCTCTCCTCATTTCTAAAGCGCTCATCTCTCTGCAGGCCTCATTCCCTGCACCGTCCTCAGCTCAGATGAAACTAACCTCGCTACTGTCACTGAGAACAAAGAAAAGGAACAAAGGCTGCAAATAACCCCCTGGGCTCGTTACCAAGAAAATGCCAGCATTGAGCAAAGCCATTTTCCAATCCACCTGTCCTTGAGCTTTGCTGGCAAATTTTGTGTACTTGTTCTGGGTGTTCACGGCTGATGTGATGACCTGAGTTCTGGACCTCATAATAAAATCACTTCGGCCAGATTCTCCTGTTACGCCTGAGAAGGAACATGCTCATGAATTCAGTTCACCACGCTCAGGTGTAAACACAACTGTGTGCCAGTTTAAACACTGCAGCCACGGAGCGAGCGTTATGTTTGCCTTCACAGCTACACACAGTTTCTCTGCAGATTTAACTATTTCTTGAGGGCAGAACTTGCTGACACAGATATTTCAGTAATGCCTCCGGTGGAGCCGAGGTGAGAGAACTGTTCTTTATCCTGGAATCACTCACAGCCTTCCTGCTCAGAGGTAACCAAAGCATCTTTGGGAGATATAGAGAGGCACAGGGATTGGGCTGTGCTGATTCAACTTCTCCAGCATCATTTGTTGTGCAGACAAGCCTTCAGCAAGAAAAGTGAGCTCACGCTGCCTTTCCACTAATTACCAAGCAGGCAGAACTCCTTCCCAGCAATCTCCATGCAGATCTGCTGTCATGATTTACCATGAAATGCAACAGGAACAGCATATAGGAGGGCCAAGTTATATGTTGAACAAACACATTGCTGGTACCAGAAATCACTGGTATGGGAGAAGCGCTGACACACTGCAACCGGGGAATTTGCCTTTAAACTGAAACTTAAGGGCTGTTTTATCCCTTCACCACTAATTTGACTGCTAGAACCACCTCTCTTTCGCTGTTGTAGAGAGCTCACAGAGGACTGAGACAGCGAGACAGTTCTCTGGGCACCGTCCTATAGCCTCTCACTATTTGCCATAGGGAGATGTCTAGTTCTCACAACTCACTATGTCTCTTTTCCCTTCCTGTCAGCCTTGGGGCTGTCCCTCGCAGGTCCCTCCCAGGGGACTGGGCTTTCTCTGCTTTCACCCCGGACTCCTCGAGCTGCTCCTCTCTGACTGTGACTTTCTCTTCAGAGCTTTCTGCCTGCTGCTGCTCCTGCGTGTCCTCACGGCTGTAGGTGTGGAGGGTGAACTCAGGCACTGTTGTCTCCATCATCTGGAGGAAATTGTAAGCAGGAAGGGGTGGTTTCCAGTCTTCCTCAGATAAGGTACCTGAGGAGTGAATACAGTCAGATGTTAACAAGTTACAAGGCTGTAATGTCTCCTCTAGGCAACCCACTTCACAGACATTCTCATTTCAATGAAATTAGGGCTTTTTCACTCTTCCAGCAGATGCAAAACTAAAGATCTTTTCTTAAAGGTCACTCTTTTTTTCTCCGCATCTAACACTGCCACTCAAGTCAAACCAACCGCAGGTGAATTAATATTTACTGGAGCCAGCCAAAGCTCAGCTCCTCAGAAGCTGGTTCCTCCATCCTCAGAGACCCAAACTGTGAAGTTTAAAAGGTGTAACACTCTGCCTCTCTCCACCAGTGGGTGAATTTTTCATTCAGGCCTCAAATAACAGTGTCAATGACAGAGCATTACCATTAGGAGTGAGGGGAGACTGCTGTCTATCCAGAGAGGAAGCAGTCCCATTAAATGAGGATGCTCTTCAGTTTTTGCTTTTAAGATTGATAACACAGTTCACAGTGGTTAGAAGCTTGAAAAAGGAGGCTGTACTGGCTGGTACTGCCCTTTGGTCGTGAAGAGCGCTGCCCAATGGTCAACGCACCCCTCTGACACCCCAGAAAGCTGGGGATGTCTCCCTAACTAGATACCTAAATGACAGTCAGATGCCTTTAGCAGTGGAGATGGAAAGAGGTGGGGGAGGGTGGCTGGCTGGCTAGAAGGGGCTTAGCCCCCAGCCAGCCATCAGCCATATATCTGTGTGTTCCCAAAGGCTAACTGTAGCCTAGGAGGGCTTGTGTCCCTACAGCAAAGGGGGAGGCTCTCCCAGAACAGACTCAGAGCCAGACCCAACATGGAGTGCTCTGTGCCACCTTTTCAAGGAGCCCCTCGAGCCCCAGGGCCTACAAATCTCACTGGGGGCGAGATTGGGGTCCATCTGCCCAGGATCCTGGCACGGACAGTGGCCAGTGGCAAGGTATACATGACAAGCACATGGTGATGTTTCCTCACAGGGTTCTCCCAGCCATTTTGGATTTTCTGCAGCTCCCAAATCCTTCTGTTGCACCTTATGACCACGTATAACATATTAGGAAGGCATATTTATGCTGCCTTCCTCCAGTTTCAGCGGACTGATCAAGGGAGGATAGACATAGTGAAAAGCGTCACAACACAAGTCAACTCCGTATGTCCCAACGACCACAACAAAGCATCAGCTTCCTTCCACTGTCCTATCAAAAAAAAAAATGTTAGGAGAGACCTACAGAGCATCTGTTTCTTATGCTGACAACCGAGAGTCAGAAGATTTTTTGTTAGTAAGCCTTGTTTCAAAAGGTCAGCTCTCAGCAGTGGGAGAGCACAGCTAGGCTTGGGGATTATTATAGGGGAGAGATGTCGATTCAGAGCTATTCATGCTTGGCTCTGAACATTAAACAGTCCTGAAGCAAACTCGTGAATATGGGTATTCTGTTCTGGCCGGACTATTTGTACTTCTCCAACTCAAACTTAGAATAGCTATTTTTTCCATCATTAAATTCCGGGACAGACAATTTATTGCACGTAACATCTTCTCATAAACAGATCAGGAGCTAACAGTGCGTGCTTAGGAACATTACAAAAGCTTGTCCACTTACTGCTGGGAATCTCCAGTCCTTCTTTTAGCTTCTCCAGCCAAGACAAGATGTTCATTTCAGTGACAGACTGGTCTGGCGGAAACTTGAATACCTGACCCCCCGTGTGAAGGTTCACCCAGAGAAGAACAGGCAACGAAGGCAAGGTGGCAAAATATGCCTTCAGGATTCCGTGGCCCACAGGGGTGTTCTTTCTGTGGAGAAGATGAGATTCAGCTTGCTGACCAGCACTTCGGCAGCACAACACGAATGAGAGCCAAGCAAGCACCAAAGCCCTTGGCCACATCCAGCAAAGCACATGAGCTCAACTTTTGTCCACGGGACAGCTGTAGAAACAGCAGCATTAGGAGCTGAATGAGTCAAAAAAGCCAATTAGCCAACTCTAACGGCTAGTGAGTAGACAGCAGATTAGATGTGTAAAGAAGTCCTCTAGTACCAGGAACAGCTAGGACAAATTCTGTAAGAGGGTGTGAAATTTCCTCCATCAGAAATTTTTAAGAGCAGGTGAAACAGGAATGACGTATGTCCAGCAGACCCCACCATGGTTAGCCCCCACCAAGCCTGGCTGTTCTCTCTGCAAACAGAAATGCTGGCTGGAAACACTACCAGATCCCCCCAGCCCAGCTACTGTCACCACCCTGCAGCTGCAACAAGTCAACAGCAGACAAAAGGGATATGACGAGCTAATACAGCAGGGTGTGCTCATGCAGCCCTGTTCCTTGCCAGCCACAGGGTGGTTTTGTACAGCTAGTAGATAAGAGACAGGCAGTTGAAATGGCAACGCCCCCAAGTGACACAGGCAGAAACAGAAAGGGACATCTGACTGAGATGGGGAGAGGACAAGTACAGGAAGATGATGAGTCCTTTAGGTACTATTTTCAGGCTGAGCGCTGCACAGGCTCTGAGTTGGCCCTCACTATGGGAATGTGGTCTTCCTTCTAGGATTATGTTATCCTTTCAAAGCCACTAGCCATATTCTGCCTTCTCTTGTGGAAATGCTCTTTTGTCCTTAAAAAGACCCGTTCTTTTTTTTTTTTTTTTTCAGTAAAGGAGAACAAAGGCAGATGTGTAGGCGGGGAAGTTCCAGGGGCTCTTACTTCTCGCATATTACTGGCAAACAAACCGTCCTCTCTTTTAAAACATGTGCATTCCCCGTTAGTAAACTTCTGCCCACGCTGCTAGATGGTTCCCAGACTTTGAAGCGCATTATGATTAAGTCAGTGAGGTGTCTCTGGGCTTTGGCAAAATAATTGGAGATTAAAAATTGAAAATGCACTAGGGAGGGGAGAAATTAAAAAAAATTCCCTCTCCTACAATTTCTTTTACTTCTTAGCTCCTGTACTTGTTTTGTTTCTTGATTATTTTCTAAGTTTGACTTATGGTGCTTCTTCCAGATGCCCTTTCATCTGAAAACTTTCTTTTCCCCCAATCAACAATTTGTGCTTCCCTCTAATTGCCAACAAAATAATCACTTTAAGACACTCAAGAGGTGCAAATTTACTTTTTTCTCCCATGTGTGACAAAAATAAAAAAACTCCAGAGCCAAGCTACCATGCAATAGCCCTGAAAATACTTTACCCTGCTAAAAATTATTTCTGCCATCATTAAAATTTTACTAATTTTACTTTGTGGTGCTACTTTGCAGCTGCCCAGAATACATACTGAATCATTGCTAAATGATTTGCACTCCCAACTCATTATGATTTCAGACTGAATAATCACATTACCAGCTAGATAGTGTTTTGAGTAATTGCAGACTCAGTGTTCTCTTACCCTGAAATGCTGAGAGTGAGGTAATGGAAAGAAACAGAGGCTTTTGTACACTCACAAGTTCAACCAGCAAGTCACAAATGCTTGCTGGGGTCTCCCTTTTGCCAGCTTCAGCATCTCCTTGCTTTCCATTCGACCAATGTCACCATCGCTAAACATGATGAGGAAGGGCTTTCCGAGTTGCAAGTACTGGGGTAGATTTTGCACTGTGATTTCTGGCTGCAAGAGAGCAAAACAAGAAGTTGAGGTTTACAGGGAGAGGAGGGTAAGACAAAAATCAGCCTTCCTGTTCTTACAGGCGTAGTGGCTGAGCAAGGCTGCACTGTCCATGTTGAATAGAAGCAGCACAAGCACAAGTGTGGATGCTGGCATCTTGGTGCACTTCACAAATGTCTATCCACAACCCTGCCCTTCAGGAGCCAACTCTGAAAGAGAAACTGTATATCCCAGAAGCCTAGGTGTGGGCAGAGAAGCAGGGCACGCTCAGCTCAGCTCCGCATGGCATGGCTACAACTAGCTTCTGAAGCTCGTGCGCAAGAGGCAGGAAGGAGGCCCTTCCCAAGGGCCAATCCAAGGCCATAGAATGGGTCTGCAGCAATAAGCACATGCCAGTCGATATACTGACTTCCAGAGACTTCTCCCACAGGACCACACTGCAAACAACAGATCCCTGTCCAGATCCTGCCTGATCCAACTCATAGTTAAAGGTTAAAAACAAATTCCATTCAACACGATAGAAATACTGAAAAAACATAGTTATTTTGCACCCCTCCACATTAAAATCAGCACTTCTGCAAATGAGCACAACAGAAAAAGGACACTTTTTTTTTTTAAACTTACAAAAATGTCCAGCAATTCATATCTGATCATCTGCACAATGTCCTGTGCGCTCTGTTTGGACAAAGCTATGCCTTCCACACTCTGATCTCTACTCCTGGCAAGGAGAAGGGCTGGAGGAGACACTGCATATTTATGGCACCTGAAAAAGAGGGATTGTTACAAGAACTGAACGGGGCTTCTGGCACACACTGAACTTGCTGCACAGAAAGCTGGCATCCTCCGGGTTAAAAGTGGTGAAGGGGATGTGGGGGAAGAGAAATGGTGGTGTTTAGAGGCACAGATCACCTGCAGGAAGAAATAGTCCCGAACAGACCCTAACTGCCTCCCCTCTGGGGCAGGCTCTGCACATCACATTTTCCATCGCCCCCTCTCCACATCTCTCCAGATCAGATTTCAGCCAATGGGGAGAGATGTGGCTGACGTGTACCTTCATCCTCTTCTGAAACAGGCACTTACCTAGCTTGCACCAGTCACTAAACATGCACAAACACACACACACAAACACCACTTTCCTCTGCAGAGAAACATCAACACCTAAATAAGAGGAAAAATCTAAAACAACACAGTCTAAACTATTTGCTGGCACTTGCCTCTCTCCCATGTTCACACCTAACGTGAGGTGGCACAAATACCTACCCAGCATTTTACACTGTCTCCCAAGGCAGGAAAACATAAGGCCTTAGACTCCACCTGAGGAACACCAGCCTACACGAGCTGGGCTCCGTATGGGCTCTGTATGCTTAAATCTTAGCCTCTGAATTTTGGTTTTGCAAACACGGGCTGTTTTGCTGAAGCCCATTGCTAGGCTACAGGACCACGCGTGGCCTGTGAACTTTCTCTGAGCAGAGAAACCAGTTTATTCTTCGTTCTCCAATTTTCTTCGGGTAAAAAGGTTTGAGAGTATTTAAAGAAAAGCTGAGCAGGTAGAAAGAGCAAAAATAGGAGAAGTCTGAGCAATGAGAGGGCACGGGCCACATCACGATGGGAGGACAACTTTCTGGAAGTTAGAGGAACTTCAGTCCTGAAGGCTCCAGATGTCAGTGCCTGGAGGAAGGGTGAGACCAGAGGAAGGAAACTGCCTCAACTGTTTTTTGGGGTGTTTGAAGCTTATTTTTCAAAGCCTGCTGGTATTTTTTCAAAGGCTGTGACACCAGAATTGCTGGGGAAGTGAGAACATGTGAGACATGTTTTGACAATGCAGAGCTAAACCCTCTCCACTCCCTGACAGCACTGTTCCAGCAGTATCAGATGCAGCTGTGTAGGTCCAGTCCCATGATAGGCGATTACGGTCCAGATGCTATAGGAGCAGGCCAGGTGGCTTGCTGCAGCACATTACTGAACAGCACTACCCACCCTAGACTGTAAAAAGTCTAAGAGCAGTTTCTTAATCTGTTTGGAAGTCCAGATTTTAGCTGGAGGAAGGGTTAGTTGGGTGAGTCTGGGCTGTTGGCCTTGAACCTTTGCCAAGGCCTCTGAGGAGAAGCTTCTGCTCACAACTATTGCCCTTAGCTGCTGAGTCCTATGAGCTGCTAACTCCAGAGCATGGCGTGACTGAACCAAAGACGAGTCTCAAGATTCAGGCGGATCAGGTAGTTTGGTACAGCACCTACAGAAATGGGACCACCGCAGCCTCCATGGGTTGAGGAAACAGGGTGTCCAGACAACAGGGCATACTTAGTTCATTGAGCTCTTTCAGCTGGCCACATCATGAACTGAAGTTTGCTGGTGTTTATGTTCCACCGTTTCCTCGATTCCCTCATTCATTCAGCTCCCACTGGAACCTGAACTGGAAGGCTGTGCTCTTTGGCTTCGGCTACCATCGTGGGTTCTTTTAATGAACCAACTCCAAATCAGCATGATTACTCACAGCAAAATCAGACACACACAACAGTGACCTCTCTTTCAAATACACAGAGTGGTTTCTTTTACAACTAAGAATCTTAAGATAAGTTAAGATAGGCTTGCTACCTATCTCTGCCCAAAGTGACTTAGGGACATTCTGGGTCATGGAGGTGGGGAGGTAGAAGGCCTTCGATTTCCATTTCAAAAGTAATCTGGTTCGCCTTTTCTTTTTCCACATGAGAAAGATCTAACACAGCCCCAACCTACTGCAGAACAAACTCTCGTCATTTTTAATGAAAGGCGGCTCACAGAAAAATCATGCTACAACAAGTTACACTTCCCTCTGTGATGTGCGCAGGCAAAATCAGTTTGGACGCTTATTTTAACAGTTCTGAATAGGATCGAGATTGGTTCAAATTTGCTTTAAAAATCTTGGTGTTTGGTGTTTTGGGTCACACGGTCACGATGCCAGGCAAGTGAAAGTTACTGCAGACAATGTATTTCCATGCTTTTTCACTCATATCTAGACTTTTCACTTCCCCTGTGACAACACTCAGATCTGTCTGGAAAAAACACACACATTGCAAGCTTTTCAGGGGCACTTTCTACCTCTCAAGCTTCCATAAGTCTTAAAGAGACAGGGGAGTTGCTTAATACTGCCAGAAAACCAACACATTCACCATCTAATAGCAGGAGTCTACCCAGAAATCACTTCTTGTCTTTCTAGTAACGTGGCCAATACATAGCAACGGGTTGTATTGTTGCTTGTGACAGCTTTCTATTCATATAGCAGGGATATATATAATAAATGACTTTATTCAAAGCATTTCTTCCTTAACACCTTGTTCATAGTTACCCACTGAGTAGGTGTTTGCTGAGCAAATAGTTTCACTAAGAACATTTTTGGTGTATTTGTAACCTTCTTCCCTGGGTAGAGGGAAATGTGAGAAGAACGGTTTCTGTCTCAGCTCTCTGTGGCTTGGGAGCCACAAACATTTCCTCCTTGAGAATTTAGCAGAAGAATAGCTTTGCTTTGCTTAAGAAGGGAAGTGAGCCTGACTCTTGCATAAGGAATTCCTGTAAGTGTTTACTTTCTACTTACAGTTGAGAAGACAACCATCTACAGTAGCTTCACCCACAAATCACGATTAAAAACACCTTTCATGCAGCCAAAACTCAAACTTGACAGAATGAATATCAATGTAAACTGTTATGAGCCATTCCAACTAAACAGGAGCACTCTCTGCACTACGGCTGTAGCAGGAGGAGAGAGGTATATTCTTGTACTTGTTGCTGATAGAACATAGATCTTTTCTATTGGTGTCTTCTTGTTTCGTAAGATCACCTCGACTTCCTTCATTTTTTCCATCTATCAGCTCAGCAGAGATGATCAGGGAAGAAGTCTTTCAGTCTCTTGGCTCAGGTTTTTCACCCTGCTGCTTCTGGTTCTGACTGCTGTACCTAAAATTACCCAGTGGTCTACCACTCCGGTGATGAATAGGCCTGGCATTGCCTCGCTTCTAAAATCTGACCAGGGCTGGTGCTTTGAGCACAGTTTAGTTAAGAGAGATGTGGTAGCAAGATATTAACATTTTTATTCTCCAAGCACATCACAAAAATGCCTTAGTGTCTCATCAAACATAGCAGAGACGCAGCACATTTGTAAGAAACTAATGAAAATAATTTGTTGTTGCATTAATGGCTGTTACGACCCATACTTGGACAACAGTCCAAAGACCTTCTGAGATTTTTAACTCTGTCTTGATAGCTAATTCCTGATGAAAATGAGATACTAGAACAATTTAAAGATCCCCTCTGGATCTAGCTCCATCTGTAGGCACTGAATGGTCTGATCCAAAACAGCTAACCCCTTGCTGGAGTGAAACTCAGGAATAAGTACACAGACTGAAACATGCTCAAATCCCATTATCTCTAATTTTTGCCTAAAATTAAGCCAGCAGTTGGTGTTCTTATCCACTCAGGAACTGGACAAAGGCGGCCTTGACTTCACCTTTACCATATTTGCAGGAGGAAGGCTGCTATAATCTTCCACAGTTTTTCCTCCAGAAAGAGGGAGCACCCACTCCTAAGTTCCATTTGCAAATGGTGGTAACATCTTGTTCCTACCAAGTGGAGGGAAACGGGTGGTCACATCTTTCAAGAAAAATACAGTGTGAGATTAATTGGAGAAAGGATAGAGGTGATTTCTTCACTGGGATCGGCAGCTGCAGACATCTTGCAGCCAGATGTGAGCGTCCACAAGGAAGCTGGGTGAGACAGAACGGGTTTAACGCCTTCCATAGTGCTACAGAAAGGCAGTCTACTGCACGCCACAGCAACTCCATGGGTAGAAAGTGCTGATTTGAGGGCTTTCAACCCAGTTTCCAGCACCCACATCCAATCCCCACTCCACCTCTAGCCAAGAACTCCTTGCGATAAAGCCTGCCACCATTCACAAGCAGCATGCAGTAGCAGCAGCATCTCTTTTGGCTGCTGTTGGCAACTGGGGACAACAATCAGAGCAAGACTTGAATTTACATCTCTGGCTTTGTAGTAATCCCCTTATGTGTCCCCCTGGCCCCAGCACGCCCTTTCACGGTTTCTGGGCAGACTAAAGGGAAACAGAAGGAAAACAGAGTGCAGAAAGAGGAAGAGAAAGACAAACAATAATCCTTCACTTCTTCCTGATGGAAAGAGAAGGGCAGAACTTTTTTTTCTTCCTCACACGCTATTCCTAGAGGATACCATTTAAGTTTGGTCCCCATATAGGCCCCCATATAAGTTTGGTCCTGTTAGCAAACAGAACACAAAACAGGCATGTGGGATTGGCAGGGCTGGAGGACTGTAAATACTCAGAATGAACTCGAACAGCAGGAAGGAAGATGATTGCTCATATCAGGGTTAAATGAGTTGCCTGTGGCAATATATCACTGGCAGTCAGAGCTATTTCTCTCTTTGGCTGGGTCCTGACCAATCTCCCTTCAGGACTAAGTCATTTGTAGCTGTTCGGGGCTGATGATAAAGACAGACAATGCAGAAGGTTCTCCACAGCAGCAGACTGCAAAATAGCCATGCTGCCAGCTTTGCCCATGGCAGACACCCTGGCAAGCCAGAATGCTACTGAGAGAGGCTTGGGGGCAGGTATGTGCTGAGCCATACACACACACACACACACACACACACACACACACACACACACACCCCAGCAGCAGCAATCACAGCTCCGAACCTTCCTGGTCCCTGCCTAATAGGAAGAGCAAGCCTAGGTCCTCTTCTGTCCTGCACGGCATCTTGTGAAGAGATGATGTTATGAACCTGTTCAGATACAGCAGGCAAAGGAACTCCTGAACTCAGCAGGGCCAGTAATACTTCCTTCAGGCAGTGGCTTTCACAAAATGAAGATCAGTTTGAATTCTCACCGAATGAAAACACAAACAACTTACAAAGCCAAGGCATCATCTTCAAAATACATCCCCAGTGTTACATGTCCACTTAAGATGTTTCCTGCCTCCATGAAAGCTTCCCTGGCTGTAAAAAACAGATACATAAATAAATAGAAAGAAAAGTGTCAGCTTCCTTCTGCAAAACAAATCACTTTATCTGCATACCTAATACCCTCCCACAACAAACTGTCAGCTGCTAACAAAAAAAGGATTAGTGGCTGATGAGAAATGGATGCATCTCATGGCCACATGCTATGGAAGGGCAGGGTTGGCAGCAATGACAGGGCGGGATCAGGAGAAAGTTCCTATTTATGAGTGTAGTATTTACGCACTAGCCACCAGCACTGAGTTTCCAGGACCTGCATGACAGAGACACTGATGGAAAGTAAAATTCCTTTAATGACTTAAAGACTGTAAGTGCTCTTTGAAACAGGAGACCAGTTATAAGTCTAAACAGAAATCTTATAAATCTCCGTGACCTTTTGGAAATGACTGATGATGACTTAACTGGAGTATTGTTAAGTGCCCAGTAAATAACCCAACCTCTGTCCCAAGTGTCTTTTGGTCTAAGCCAGCGTATGCAATGTAGCTCAGCCAGGTTCTAGACTGGGACAGGAAAAAAAAAAAAGAGGACTGTAAAAGCAGGCCTTGCTGATCCCCACACAATGAAGGCCAGGCAAGGATCTGGCTACTGTCTCTAAATAAAGGAGGGAAGCTAAGCTCCAGAGAAGAAGCTCAGACTAACAGTCAGTGTTCAGTCAAGGGGGCGATAGGTATAAACTGGCTCTGAACACCTTGTGCCTGAGAAACGGAAGAAAATGCTAACATCAAATAGGCAGGGTCTGGAGCAGGCATCAAACTAGAATAGGGAGGGTCAAAAAGCTAACAAGCTTGAAGATATAGTGTACTCTGACTAGAGAAGAGGGGCAGATGCAAGACCTCAGCTGTCGCAGTTCAAAGAGTAGTGTCCTAGCACAAATCCACCTCCAGCAGTGGCTGCTAGGCTGTGTCACTACGCTTACAGAGACAGTGAGCTCATACAGAGGACAGAGTGAAAAGGAATGGATTGGGGCCCTCTTACAACTCCGCAGCTAAATCCGGCAGTGCTGGAGGATTGAGGGCAGAGCTGGCTGCAGAGCTGTTTTATGTCCTTATAAAATATACTCAGTTCTAGGCAACTGGATCCAGGGTAGAGAAAAACTTTGAGAGAACATGCAAGCGTTATTGGGTGAGCTCGCAAAATACAGGTCTAGCAAATACAGATCAGAGATCAAAAATACTGCTGCCAAAGCTAGGCTGAAAATAGGGCAGATTTCAACCCTCCCTCCCCTTTTTCTTAATTAGGCAATTTAAAGCAACAAAAAAGGCTCTTTCAACAAGAGAGTGAGAAATAAAGCACTGAGGAGAAGTCAGGTTTTCCCAAGAGTTAAGGTTACAATTTAGAGGCAGGCACGATATGTGTTGCTTTTATAACTTTAATAAAAACTCATTCAAATACCATTTAGTGTTCTTCGTAACATACAACACCATATCGCAATTGGCTAACCAAAGCACTGGAGACCAGTGACTCAGACCTCAATAAACTGAGGCTGGCTCAAAACTGGTCACTTTTTGGTCCTTTGCCTCTGGCTTTTCAGCTACAAAGTCAAATGTTCCATCGTGCTCCCCTGGAACCACAGGGGCTACAAAATACTTTCATATTGTTTTCCTTTCCAAATAGAAGCTTAGATCCTTTAGGAGTGGCTCACTGAGAGTTGAAACATTGTAAGAAGCAACACACATCACAGGGCTCATGACACAGCTTGGTGAGCTTGTCTGGTTATGAGATAGAGAAAACACTGTTGGATGGGCCTGACATTGGTCTTGGGGACTTGCTTGGTCTTTGGTCACTTGATTGTGTTGAGGCAAAAACAAATCCAAAGCACTAGCTGATTAGGAACATTATAGCGGTTCACCAGCAGAACCTCTGCAAATGTGTTAAGTGTCCCAGCTACTGGACAAAAAAAGATATGGGGATGATTCTGAGCTACCCCTGTGCACTGAAGGACAAAGACTGAGGCAGAAGGAGCAGGCTTAAATCCAAAATTCCTCAGGACAGCACTTTTACAGGCATTTATCTTTAGACACTCACTTGAGATGTAAGCATGTGTTCAAGCACTGTCCTGAAGAGGCACTGGCTACAGGAATTCTCTCCTAAATCAAGGCAGTTTTCTGCAGAATCCAGGTGTATTCATTTCATCAGGGTCATCCCAGCTAGGATCTTTCCTCCCTATCACACTTCGCTTTTGGTTTTCAGCATTTGGGGGACTATCTGTCACAGACCCAGAGTCATGCTGTCCTTTCTTTTTCAACCGGTCACAGCAACAGTCTCTTAGTTTGATGCAAGAAAATCCCAAATTCACACAGTCCCACTACAGATACGAAGCACTTCCAAAGCAACTATTTAAATATTTCCTAGAATCCAAATCAGTCACCTCTGAGGACACAGTTTTAATTCCCTACAGGTCCTGCACGGTTTTCAAGAGGCAGGATTCAAGCACAATCCCCCATCCACCTAGCATCAGCGAAAAGCATCTCATGAAATCATGTTCTCTAGTAGCACGTGCAGCATATTTACATGGCTTCTTCCAGCCCAAGGTAACAGCCATGTGGCTGTAAATTAAAACCGTGCTGAAAATCTTTGCTGCACAGGGAACAGTTACATGACCAAATCTACTAGGTGATGTAAGAAACCACATTGGCAGATAAACAACAGTGTAAGGCACACAGCATGGTAAAGGGAGGGGTCTCAAACCAAGCAGAAGTGAGCTTATTTTTAAGTGCAGACTCACAGAGCAAACTCCAATTAAAACAATCTCTTGAAACTGGAGATATCATAGTATGTACCTTGTTTTGTATCACACTGCTCTATAGTGGCCTGAATGAAGGTTTGAACCTACTCCAGCTAAGCTGCAATTGTCCATTCTGCTTTCACAGAATCACAGAATCGTTTAGGTTGGAAGGGACCTCTGGAGATCAGCTAGTCCAACCTCCCTGCTCAAGCAGGGTCACCTAGAGCACGTTGACCAGGATCACATCCAGACAGGTTATGAATATCTCCAGAGAAGGAGACTCCACTACCTCTCTGGGCAACCTGTTCCAATGCTCTGTCACCCTCACAGTGAAGAAGTTTTTCCTCAGGTTCAGATGGAACCTCCTGTGGTTCAGTTTCTGCCCATTGCCTCTTGTCCTGTTGCTGGGCACCACGGAGAAGAGAC